AAAGTTCATGTGCATCCAGTGGCTATCCAGAGAAAAAAGATACCATTCTTCTCCACCTTCCCCTTTCTCTAAGCTACTAGTTCTCAAGGAGTTGGAATCAGAATTACCTAGAGAGCTTTTTTATTGAGATATAATTGATGTGTAACATTATATTAGTTTCAGATGTACAACATAATGATTTGTTATTTGTATATATTGCAAAATGATCACCACACTAAGCCTAGTTAACATCCGTTACTAGAGCTTTTATAAGTCAAGCTGCGGGAAGAACTGAGCCACGAAGAGTATCTGGGAATGTGGCCCACGCATATATTTTTAATGCTTTTTTTAACTTCACAAGCAGTTCTCATGGGAACATAGAGTTAACTACTTCATCTGCTTTAGGACTGACCAAAAGCTAGTTATAATATTCATTCTTCTAGTAACATTAATAGCTGGTTTGTAAGCTGGACAGGAAATGACCTAAGGAAAAAAATTTTCAAAAGAATGAGTCATGTAATGCAGTGATTTTCAAACAGAAAGGACACACCAAAAACATTTGGGAGGCCTTTTCAAATTATACATGCGTGTTTTCCCCTAGCCCATTAAACTTGACGATGGTGAATTGTGTTAGAAGCGTGTCATATCTCTCAGATGATTCATTTTATGTCCTTCTATACTTTTTAGATTTTTCACCATGTACCATTACTTGATTTACTTTGGTGGATCAAATGGGTGGAGAGCAAGATTACTACCATCACCACCCTGCCATCACTTAATACTGAAGTAGTGTAGAGACACCTGATTATTCAGAAGCTTGGACTTTTCTAATGCCTTTTCTTTCTCCCAACATGGGCAGTGATGGCATTTAAAACTGAGGGTACACTGAGGATTGAAAATGTAACTCATAAATCATTAGGTCTCTTAGAATGTTAAATCTTGTTTATTTTTAAAGTAGGTAGGAAATGATGATTTGGTTTTATTAGATAATATAGCTCAAAAGATGTACTTGAAATATCTTAGGAGTTTCTGAATCTACATAATCATAGCAATTAGTGCTAATGCCTCAAACCCCAAAAATTAAATTTGAAGATAAATGGGTTCACTTTTTCATACCTTGACTATGTAAGAATGAAGAAAACCCTTGATTTTTAATTGTGTAACTTTAGCTAAAGAATATGCTGTCCTATTTTTAACTTTAAAAAGAAATCAGACATCTCTAGAAGCTCTTAAGAAAGTGACAAAATTCAAGGAACAAGCGTTTATTTTTAACATGATTTCTGCTGTTTAGTACTTAAGATGTACTTTACCCCAAATTTATTAATAATTAAACAGCAGTTATGTTCACTTACTGTCTAGTAACCTATCTGTTCAGGACAGCTTTTCTGGTAATTCTATTTTCATGTTTCAAAAAAACATTCCCCAGGAAATAGCCTGTAAAATACAGAACAAAACAAAACCTAACGTGTATTAGTGTTCCTAATGGTAAAATTCAAATAACCAGCAGAGAAACAAAAAAACCTATGTAGTTATTAAAAGATTTGGACTTCTTTTTCAAACATAGAAAAAGGTATGCATAAAATAATTTTAAAGAAAGTCCAATGTGGTTTGCAGTGATTTTTCCACCATGTTAATTTTTACATGCAAATTAACTTTGATTTGAAGAAATTTAATAGATAAATGAGCAAAGGAAGGAAATATGTATAAATGGCTGAAAACCTTTGAGGAAATGTACAAATGACTACTAATCCAAGAAATGTAAATTGAAACAAGAAGATAAACATACTGTTTTTCAAATAAGCAAAGTCTTAGAATACCACTTGTGTTCATCTTGCTCCACTTTTGCCTTAAAATTATTATAACCTTTGATCTATTGGGTTGTCGGAAAAGTCATAACGCATTTTTGCAATGAAAAACATAGAAAAAATACGTCATGGCTTTTCCAACAACCTAATAGTAATTCCATGCCAATGAATTCCTAAAGAAATGAAATAAGGAAAAATATGTATATAGATAGATGTTTATAGGACCATTATTTATAATGGGCTCAGTATTAGAACAGTTAAATTATAATATATTTATACAGTAGAATTCTGTACATCTATTCAAATGATCACTTGTTTACATAGTCACATTCCATTTTTCAAGAACAGTTTTAAAGGACTTGATTATACTTTTTTGTAATTTCCAAATGATTGTATAATTTTTTAAATTGGAGAAAAGCATTAATAATTAATACTTACAAAGCACTTATGTGCCTGCCCTGTTCAAGAACATCCACCCATATGAATCATTTAATTTTCACAACAACCTCCTGAGGTATATAGTATTATTTTCATTTTACAGATGAGGAAACTTGGACACTGACAGACTGAGTAGCTTGCCCAAAGTCCCCCATCTCATAAATAGTGAAGCTGAGATTTGAATCCAGGTAGTTTGGCTGTGTGCTTCTGCCTCACACTGTGTGCCCCATACAGCATTAGAAGTTATACAGCGATTTGTATTTTGTCATTCACTCTGTTCTACAGTGTAGTGCTGCCAAAACATGATATATAGACCCAGTGCTTTTCCCTTCTGCTGCCTTTTTTCTTCTTGGCTCTCTCTCTCTCTCAGTGCTCTTTATTTTTTAATTAACTTTATTTTGGTATAATATAAATTAGACCTATTTAAAGTATAAACTTTGGGCCGGCCGAGTAGGCTCAGTTGGTTAAGAGCTCACTCAAGAGTGTGAGTTCTGAGCAACAGCGGTTTGAGTCCTGGCCCAAGCTGAGCTGCCGCTGAGCTGCCAACAGGTGGCAGGATGGCTCAGCTAAAAATAAATAAATAAAAATAAAGTATGACGTTTGATGAGTTTTAACAAATGTCCACGTCTGTGAAACTACCATAACCAGGATACAGAACATAACTGTCAGTCCCCAAACTTCCGCCAGACAACCATTGATCTGCTCTGTCACCACAGCTTTGTTGTTATTTTTTGGAATTTTATGAATGGAATCATACAGTATATATACTCTTTTCTAATCATCTTCTTGTACTTAGCATAATGGTTTGGAGATACATTCATGTTATTTCATGTATCAATAGTTTGTTTTTACTGATGAGTTGTGTTCCATTGTAGGACTATACCACTAACAAGAAAATATATTTTGTTTATCCATTTGGGTTGTTTCCAGTTTTGGCTTTTATGAATAAAGCTATTACAGATGTGCTTTTCATTTTCTTGAGTAAATAACTAAGAGTGAATGTTTGAGTTGTATATGTTTGACTTTATAAGAAACTGCCAAACTTCTCAAAAGCTGTCTCATTTCACATTCCGAGCGGCGAGTCTGAGGCTTTCAGCTCCTGCACATCCTGACCGACACGGGGTGTTGTCAGTCCTGTTAACGTTGGCTGCTCGGCTGGGTGTGTGATGCTGTCTCATGGTTTTAATTTGTATTTTCCTGACTAGTAATCTTTATGTGTTGCTTAGCCATTTTATGTATTCTTTGGTGAAGTGCTTGTCCAAATCTTTATCCCATTGGCCTCTTATTGTTGAGTTGTGTGTGTTCTTTATACACGTGTATTTTGGATATAAGTCCTTTGTCAGATATACATATATATTTTGTGAATATTTTGTCCCAGTATATAGCTTGCCTTTTTGTTATCTCAGCAGTATCTTTCAAAGAGTGGGTTTTTGGTTTTGGTTTATTTTTTAAATAAAGGGATTTTTTTTTTTTGGTGTGTGTGTGTCCTATCTAAGAAATCTTTGTCTACTTATATTTTCTTTTAGGTCTATGATCCACTTAGAATTAATTTTTGCATATTGTGTTAGGTAAGGACTAATGTTCTTTTAAAAATACGTGTGACTCTCTTGTTCATCACTGTTTGTTGAAAAGGTTTTCCTTTCCCTTTGAATTGGACTTGGCACCTTGGTTCAAAATAATGGACCATTTATATAAATGACGTTTCTGGGCCTTCACTTCTATTTTATTCATCTGTATGTCTCAACATTTAGCCAATAATTATACGTCTTGATTGCTGTAGACTTATGATGTCTTGAAATCAGGTAGTATAAGTCCCCAACTTTATTCTTTTAAAAAATTGCTTTGACTATTCTAGGATTGTTCTCATTTCCTATAAATTTTATAATCAACTTGTCAACTTATACACATGAGCAAGTTGGAATTTTGACTAAGATTCCATTGAATCTTTAGCTCATTTTGGGGAGAACTGACTTCTTAACAATTCTTGCAATTCATGGATATGGTATGTAATATATATACAGAGGATGCCAAAAACTATACACATTTTAAGAAAGGAAAAAAAACTATTAAAATTGTAATACTCAATATATACTGATACCAAAAGATGAATACAAGTTACGTCTGACTTCTGCAGTTACAAGAGGTGCTCAAAGTGGTTACCATCAGCGTCTAGACACTTCTGATTACGGTGAACTACTGCTTTAGCAACGCTGACCAAAGTGTCCACTTGTATACATTTTTTTGGCACCCTGGTATATATAATATATAATATGTACTTATTTGAGTTGTCTTTAATTCCTTTTGTTAACTTTCATTTAACTATTTTGCCTCTTATCAGATTCTTCACATGAAAATTAATAAGGTAAACACAGAAACTTGTAGCCATTTGATACAAAGAAAAATTTGAGTCAATTAAAATTTTGAAATTTGGTAAGGATATGAAAGTATTTTCATTACATTTATTTTAAATGCAGAATTGAAGGTTACTATATAATATAAAGCTTAATTTCTTATGGTTTTAGATAAATAAATATATAAGAATTCTAATATTTTTTGTACTCTAGATCGTTATCTTTCCATTTTGATGTTTAGATAGTTATGAATTAAGAGTGCTTTTTAAGTGTCTTGCCTGTCTTTTGAATGACATTAGTATATGGTAAACTACGTACACAGAAGGAAATTACAAATTCTTATTTTGAAATGGATTAATAGATGGATTCACCCATTATAAAATGTTTAAATTTTCTTTAAGTCTAATAAAATTTCTTATCTTAACAGATATCAGACACCCTGAAGAGCTTTCTCTCTTGAAAAAGCCCAGAGACCCAACAAAGAAAAAAAAGAAGAAGCTAGATGACCAGTCTGAGGACGAGGCGCTCGAGTTAGAGGGGCCTCTTATTACTCCTGGATCAGGTGAGTCTGACTAAGGAACAGCTCGTTGTGAGAACCATGGACTGACTGTATGCCTGTGTGTTCTGATAGGGGATAAATGGATTACACAGGTCAGGAAAATAGTGAAGTTAAAAAGAAAAAAGAAAAAAACCGTCTCCGCATCTTTTCCCTCAATCATGAAACTGCCACCATAGTGTCATGTGCATATCATCATGTCAGGTGTTAATAGTTGCATCAATAAAGAGGAAGGCTGGTTCTCTGTTCAGGAAGAGTCAAAAAGGGACAGGATCTTAATTGGGCTTAGTTCTTTGCTTTGCAGATATTGGACAGTTTTTTAGTATTTAGTTTTCTTTTTTCTATATTTTGTGGAAAACACCACTATTTAGTTAAGACATCTTTTCTCAGGTACTGAAAACCTGTCCGCTTTGCATCTGCTGGTCCCTTTGCCTCTCTGCCTTTTTCCTTTTTGGTTTGCTCCTTTAAGAAACTTTTTCAGATTTGCTTCCATTACCTCCTCAACCTGAATTAGGTATTCTTCTAATTCAGTTCATTCCTGGTCTTTTATATTCTGGGATGATGAAGATGAAAGCAAATACTCCATGTCATGCTTGCTATATGCCCAGTACTATTTCACACACTTTATCCTTGGAAACTCATTTAATTTTCACTACAACCCTTTGAAGTGGATTATGTTATATTTTAAGGAAGAAATTATGGCACAATAAGGTTAGGAACATCTAATGTCACATACCTTGCAACTTTTATGTCTCTGTTCACGTACTGATAGCGTTTGGGAGATACCAAGAAATAAGATAACCCTTACTCTTAAGGAGTTTATAGGCTAGTTGAAAAACAGTTACTATATTTAAGGAGGTAATATACAGATGCTAAATTAATTGAGGTGTTACATATAGTAAAATGAACAAATTTTAAATTACAGATGTGTATTACAGCTGTATATACATTATAATCACCCAGAACAGGATATAGCATAATTCCAGCACCTCAGAAGGCCTCCCATATTCCTTTCCCAGGTCAATATCCCACAAAATAACCACCTTTTGCCTCTGACCAAAGATCAGTGTTGCCTGTTCTTGAACCTCCTATAAATGGAATCACACCTATGTGCTGTCTTGTGTCTGTGAAATTACTGTTTTGAAAGAGGGAATTGAAAATTTGGTTTTAGTTGTCTACACCCAAGCAGTTTAATTAAAAACATGTGAGGAGTTCCAACAAGTTGATATTAAATACTAAAGAAGTACCCAAAGGTAGGGATACATAGAGGACTGATGATCTGTAGAGAAAATATCCACTTAGTACCATACGCACATAAAAAGTAATATGTAATCAATTTTTAAAAGAAATATTAAATATCTAGTTTGCCTGCTTTTATGATTTGTTAGCACTTTAGTCAATTATTGGACCAAATATTGAAAAAGAGGGTCAGTTGCATGTTGTGTCCATAATAAATAGCAATAGGTCCATATATCTCAATGTCTGACATCCTGGGGACGTCCGACACTGCTCAGTGCTTCACAAATGTTCCTGTACTACAGATGTGGAAAGGGTTAGAGACAATCTTCATTTGAGGAAAAGACACACCGTTTCCCTTAGTTCCAACATGCTGCTTGATTTGTGAGCATCTCAGTGTGTGCATGGTCAACAAATCTATGTATTCAGTAAATGATAATTATTACTTAGCACATTATTTTTCATTTGTGCCTCACAAAACCCCTTCAGTTTTGGTGGTATTATGCCTATTTTACTTATAAGGAAAGAATCCAGAAGAATTAAGTAATTTGCCCAAGGTCTCACAGCTAGAATTCAAATCCAGGTCTGCCTGGCTCCAGTGCTTGTATTTCTAACCATTGTGTAACATTCATCTCTCCAATTATATTTAAAGTAAGTATTTTTGAATTCTAATAGAAACATTTGATAAAATATTATGTAAATTATAACTCAACAAAGCTAATTTTTTAAAAAGTAATGTTTTAAGAGGTAAAGGATCATGAGTGAATTAATGATTCTTAGACTTCAGTCAAATTCTTACATAGAATTATGGCAGAATTCTGAGTTCTTAAATACCTTGCTTACCTGGCTGTGCTCAGACGGCATGCTCCTGAGTGCTTTGCCACTTCCTAACTGTAACTAGGTAAATATCTAATCTCCAATCACCTGTTGGAGGGAACCCACTGAACTGGCCTGATCCCAGATCTGGGGAAAACAATTTTTCCAAGTAAGAATTAATTTTACAGTATAGTGCTGATGTACAGATTACTAATTTCAGGATGTAATATGTAAATAGAAATACAAAATTACCTCATCAGAAACTTCTCTAAAAAATCTAAAAGCCAGCTAGACAAAGGAAAACCCTGGCTCTTAAAATAACACGTACAGGAAGTAATCAATACTCTTGCTTGGCACTGTCAGGAAAGTCACTTTTTCAGGATGCTGTTTTTTCTAACTGGAACTTGCCATTTTAAGCAGCAAAACATTTTTTTAAACTATTATTTAATTATAAAAGTAATGCATGTATATCATAAAAATTCAAATATAGAATTATGTATTCATTTTTGTTTTTAATGAAAGTGAGAGTGTGTTATACACACATTTGTAATTTGCGTTTTTTCACTTGGCAATGCATACTAATGGACCTCGTATCTTTTTTTAATTTTCAGTCATACTTGAATAAAATCTCATTATAAAAAATTCAAACATTACAGAAAATTTACTAAACTGAAGGTGGAAATTCCACTTTAGCTTATTCTCTTGCTACTCCTTCTCAAGAACTAATTTCTTGATTGCTGTGTATAAATATATTGTAAACAGTTGGAGTGTAACTTGTCAGCACCTTTTCTATGTGTTTATATATACTTACATGTCTAGTTTTTTTAATAACATGATGAGAACCTAAATATTGATTGTATATTCTGCAGTTTGAGTGCTCTTCATTGAACAATATGTTTTAATAATGTTTCTGTGTCAGAATAGAGAGGTCTCGCTAGTTCTTTACAAATGGCTTCAAAGTTTTCCATATTAGAAAAACTATTTTTAACTGTTTATCTGATTTTCCTATCAAGTATACTCTAAAAAGTTTTCCCAAAGTTCAAATATACTCAAAAAAAGAATGTAAGGGCCGGCCGAGTGGCGCGGTGGTTAAGAGCTGGCTTGGGATGCCGGAGGGCCCCAGTTCGGATCCCACATATGATGGCCAGTGACACTGCCCTCTACAGCTAAGATGCTGAACAACAGCTCAACCTGGAGTTGGGCTGCCGTGGGTCGCCGGCGATGGTGTAGGCTGCAGTGGGTTGCCATGGGCTACCATGTGTGGCCAGCAGCCAGCATGAGCGGCCATCCAGAAGCCGGCGACTGATCTGCCTCACCCGGGAAGAGCGCAATGATGGTGCCAACTTGGGCCAGTGAAGCAACGTCCTCCACAACTAGACTGAAGAACAAAAGGACAGAAACTTGTCTGTTCCCCTTTGCGCTGTTCCCATCCCCCAATTCCCCAATAAAAATCTTAAAAAGGAATGTAAAAGTGTAAAAGTGATGGTTTCACATTCCCATCAACAGTATATGAAAATGCCTCCTTTTCTACATTCTGCCAATATGAAATGTTGTAAATCTTTACATAGATTTTTGCCAATATGACAATAAAGTAGTATGTCAGAATTTATTTTCTATTTCCCTGATAAACACTAGTGTGAATATATTTCATATATTCATATATAGCCATTCCTGTCCTATTGATTTTCAAATCATGGACTTTGTCCATTTTTTGTTTTTATTTTTAGTGATATTAATCATTTGATATGTTAGATATGTTCCCTATATTGGCATTTCATTTTTAATTTTGTTTGTGGTCTTTTTTACTAAAGTTATATATTTTTATGTAGTCAAATCTATTTATAGTTCTGAGTTTTCACTTTTAAAATCTTTACAAATATAAAGATTCTATATTTTGTTTTAATACTTTTATAATTATTTCACATTTATATTTTTAATTCACCTGTAATTTGGTATAATTTGATGGAAAAATTTCTAAAATGTATTAGAATAACTTTAGTTCTCTTTTTATAAAGAACATATAAGAATATAATTTATAATAACCAAGTTATGAGGCAAATTCTACAGTGTTAAAACAATACTCCTCTCAGGAGCTGTGAGGTTACATCGTGTTTTTTACTACCTATAGCAGATGGGCCCAGACTGTAGTACTCATTGAACGCTTTATTTCTCCTTAGTTTTTAAGTTATCTTTCCATATAGTCAGCATATTGCTGACTAAAACACATTACTTCATCTTACCCTGTATTAGTTTTCTGCTTTAAATGTGTTTTAAATTGGGCAATCAGGAATACAAGAGCTAGTTGGGATTGCCATTGAACTGAGGCTTGAAAGGAATTTAAAATGCACTTACCCTCTCACCCAGCAATGTTGCTAGAATTGGGAAATAAGTACAAAAATGTTTCCTGGAAGCATTTTTTGCAATAACAGTAGTGACATCAATAACAAAGCGCTAAATAAATAAATGCACACCAGTTGAGAATGGCTTAACTAAATTATGGTACATGGGAGGCAGTGTGTATAGCTGCAGACTGGCTGATGATAGCTTGGCTGTGTAACTTAATAAATAGCTCTTGACATTGAACAAGTTATTTAACCTGTTTGTGCCTCAGTTTGCTCCTCTAAAATGGGAATAATAAGGTTGTTGGGAATACTAAATGAGTTATTGTCATAGAGTGCCTAACAAAATAAGAATAGGAAAAAATGAAGGATCAAAGACAAAGTGTAAAATATACCAAGTATAGGAAAATTGAGAGGGAAGAGATTTGCGTGGGTGGCTGATGCTATTAAATGTGATTTAGGGGAATATATTTTCTGTTTTAGAAACTGCATAAAGAAAATAGTCAACTCTAACTTTAATCAATTCTAAATAGTAATTATAGTTCATCATACTAGGAACAAATTTCCAATGTCCTGCCATTCTTAGTAAGAGATTTATTTAATAGATCTTTGAAATAGGTGAGAAGATCCTGCCTGGAAGGTAATACTTTCCACACCTGTTGACATGGATACTCTCCATAGCAGAGTTATCCTTTGCCCCGCTGAGTGGGAGTAATGTTTTCAGCCCTTTTAATCTGTGTGGGGTGCCCAAGAAACCCTTTCAGAAAATGCCCTTGTAGTTCAAGGTTCTGTCTTTTAAAGCCACAAATAATAAATACCCAGTGTTTTTTAAAGGCCTGAAAAGGAGAGTTCACAGCTTTCTTTGTTGCTTATTTAAGTTTAACAATGTTGAGATTCTACAAGTGGCTTTAGTACTAAAATTGGAAAAACACATACTAGGGACATCAGATCAGATACCCTGTAGCTAGGAATTATTATTATTTTTACGGTGCATTCTCTTCCTAGATTAGGTTATGACAACTACAGACGTTTCTAGCATTTCATAGTTAATTATTTCTATCATTGCGTGTGGGGTAGGGGGAGTTAAAGAGCAAAGCAGAGATATTCCTAAATCAGGTAAGGGAAACAGCCATTCTCTTTTCCATCATCCATTAACAATGTGATACCCATTTATACATGTGCTTTTTAATGATGACTAAAGAATAAAATTAGGACTTTGGAGGAGAGGTGCTTTTACTTAATGTCATTCTGAACTTTTAAAAAGAGTTCTAACCTTAATTTTTGTAGTTTAAATGACAGGATATATCATCAGTTGACTAATTTCAACAAACTTTTAATTTATGTAACCTCTACTGTATTCCTAGCCCTTTAATACTGAGGAATCAAGATAAAGACAATATCCCTGCCTTCAGGAGTCTAATTACAAAATGTACCTTTGTTAGCTATAGTTGGCCTCTTTCCAGGCCAAAATTTTATCTACCCCTTTGCTTTAATACTTTATTTGTAAATCTGTTGGAATCCGTTTAGCTAGTCACTGAGAAAACATTAACATAACATTGTTCTCTTAATTTATGTGAATTTATTCACTTAACATTGAGTTGTCTTAAAATACAGGGTATGTATTTCAAAGGGTGATAAATGGACATGTTTGTCACTAGACACTTGACTGGAACACAACTTCATTCTTTTAAATTGGACAGAAAACTTAATTTACTTAGGTTATAGCTTCTAAGATTCTTTACTCTTAAATCCACTTGCAATATGTATTTCAGTTTATGATTCACAATTACAAAAAAGTCTGTTTTCTTTTTCCCATTTCCTTCTCATTCTTTTGTTTCTGTCTTCTATTGTTACCTTTCCTTTATCTTCTGAACTCCTTTCTTTCCTTTCCTGTAGGCACTGATGTTCTTTACATTGGCCCTCTGAAAGGTGAGCCTTGCCACAATTAAAAACAAAAAGTATTAGTCTGCTTTACCTGTACCTTAACTTCTCATTCTCTTGAACTGATTTCCGCCTCCCCCCCCCCCAGAATTTCCAGCAACTTAGTTATAATCTTTTGTTATTGTATGTTTGAATGTTCTGTAGATAGAGTGGTAAAATTAATTTCACATGATTTCAAGACAGGTAAAATAATGTACTGAGCTTTCTTCAAGAATGAAGCTTGTATTTCACAATGTGCTTTAATATCATTATAACACGTATTTCTGAAAAGTAAGGTTCTGTACTTCATACTTATTTTTCATGTTATTTATTAGGAAGTATATATTCGAGCCCAGGACTTTATAGTAAAACAATGACCCCCACTTACGATGCTCATGATGGAAGCCCCTTGTCACCGACTTCTGCTTGGTTTGGTGACAGTGCTTTGTCAGAAGGCAACCCTGGTATCCTTGCTGTCAGTCAGCCCATCACATCGCCAGAAATCTTGGCTAAAATGTTCAAGCCTCAGGCTCTTCTTGACAAAGCAAAAATCAACCAGGGGTAAGTTTTAAGATATAATTAAAGACTTCATTTATCCATGAGAGGTAGAAGTATGTCACTAATTCTGTATTGCTTTGTTCCACTGCTCTTGTCCTCTGTCCAGGTGGCTCGATTCCTCAAGGTCTCTCATGGAACAAGATGTGAAGGAGAACGAGGCCTTGCTGCTCCGATTCAAGTATTACAGCTTTTTTGATTTGAATCCAAAGGTACCAAGGGTTTAGAGGAATTTCTTCTTTTTTCCTTTTTGTTTTGTTCATTTGGATATTTGTTTTTTT